TTGGGCCCCGGCCAAGTGCAAGCTTCACTTCTGGCTAGCGATGAGGCGTTGGATTTGGACGGCAGACAGACGCCTTCGACACGGCCTCCAGTCCCACGTCATGTGCCCATTATGCGAGCAGGAGGCTGAGACTGCAGATCACCTGGCACTGGGTTGTGTGTTTGCCAGGGAGGAGTGGCACTCCGCCCTTGCACGGTGCGGCCTCGGCCAGTTGGTGCCCACCATGGATGCAATTCTCATAGAGTGGTGGCCAGCCAGTTGTGCGATGATCCCGAAGGAGCAGAGGAAGGGGTTTGATTCGCTTGCCCTCCTCATCGTCTGGATGCTATGGAAGGAGCGTCATAGTCGTGTCTTCGAACGGTCAGCGGTCGTTGCTAGAGAGCTTTATCGCCGCATCAGTGATGAGGTTGAGCTATGGAAACCTTCTGGTGCGAGGGGGTTGTTGGACTTCTGGAGGTAGGACCTTCTAGCATGTAGGGCGTTGTTGCGTGCCCCATGGTGTTAATGGTTGCCCACCATATGCTACCGTGGGGATGATTGTAACCGCGGCAAGCCGCCATACTCTTTATACTTTTATTTCTCTTCTTCTAATACATCGACGCGCAAAGCTTTTGCGTGTTCGAAAAAAAAGTTTTTTTTACATGATTCACTTGAGTTTGCTGCTTTACAAAACATCTATTTCAAGCAGCCACATACGTTGGAAAGCAAGGTATACATCAGCTGGAGCGAAACGTTTCCTGGCGAACGATCGCTTATTTTTCTTCCAAAAAATGTATGCACTGGGGGGCTGAAGCAGGTTTTGTGCACACATGTAATTAAAGCTTTTTTATGTAACTTTTGAAGTTAAATTCCTTTTTAATTTAATTTTTCGTTTGAAAAAACAATCCAAGAATCCAAAATCTTTCCCATTATTAATTGAACAAAATCCTTTTTAGAGGGATTTTTTGTAAACTTGACATGTGCATTCTTATTATATGTAGCATGTCAATTTCTAGGTCTTTTGTAATGCCCCCATGGCCATGGCAACAAATAAATATTAAGAGCATGGTCTTTTAATAATTAGTAACATGGTATTTTTATTATTAAGAGGATGGCAGTTTTATTATTAAGAGCATGACATTTTCATTATTAGTAACATGGAATTTTTTATTGTCAGAGGATGACGGTTTTATGACTAAGAACATGGCATTTTTATTATTAATAAAATATTTTTTGTTATTAGGAGGACGTGAGTTTTATTGTTAACATGTTGGCAGTTTTATTATTGAGAGCATGGCATTTTTATTATTGTTGTCATGACATTTTTATTATCAAGAGGATGACAGTTTTTATTATTAAGGGGATGGCAATTTTAGTTTTATTGGCATGAAAATTTTAAAAGAAAAAACACCGACGTGGCTTTTTTTCTCAGTTTTTGCACAATGGACCAAATAAAGAAAAAAACTTTACAACATGGCATTTTGTTTCTGGTCCTTGGCGAAAAAAAAAGTGTTCTCCAAAACATGGCCCTTTTCACAGTGAAACATATCCATCGCAGAATTCATACAAAAACAATTACACTGCGTTTGGATGTCTGTATTGACCCATCTGAATTGGATTTGGTATTAGCTAGGTATCAATTCAGCCGTTTGGATGCCCACTGAAATGTCCGGACTGAAACGGGTCCAATACAGACTGAAATCGTTCTCACGCGCACAACCCTTCCTCGATACAGACCTCTCTGCCTCCAATTTCGGCTGAATCGGCCAACTCCCGCAAAAGAAAACGATTGGAGACAGAAGCCCCGCGAGAGACCTGGCTCCGTCCCCACGCGACCAAAAGCTTCAGTAGGCGACGGCAGCGCGTATATGCATCTGACTCCCGGCCCTCCTCATCTCTCCAGCGGCGGCTCACCTTCAAGCTCCCTCGGCAGCCGCCCCTTTCCCTCCTGCAGCGTTCCTCCTCTCCATCCCTGACCTGGACGGCCGCCGTCGGATCTCTCTGGCCGGCGTAGGCCTTCCATCTCGCCCATCTCCGTCCACGGCAGGCCATCTCCTCCCATGCCTGCAGCGGTCGTAACGTGCCTCCCCATCTATTCTGGCCGCCAGAACACATTACACTTTTTTTTAATCGTACCAATTATTTAAAAATTAGCATGGCATTTTTTATAAAGTAGCCTGTCATTTAAAAAAAATCATATCATGGTGATTATATGTTTTATGTGTTCTCTAGCTTTTTATAAGAAAAATATGTGTTTCTTTGTTCATGGCATTTTAAAAAAGGGTAAATGCCACATAAATAGTTAACAGGTAACATGCTTTTAGGTGAAATCTGATAAATATGGAGTATTATATTGGCAAATCTTGAAAATTGCGAAAACGACCTCCAACCAGTGATTTACCAATCCAACACTAAGTGAACATATTTTCGGTTAGTTTTTGCCAAACCAGATCTGACGTTAAAGCCAGGCAGTGTAGCTTCACACTCATCGAGATTTTTTTCAAGACCGCAAATATGATCATGCAGAAAGAGATGATTTAAACTACTGAGTTCATCCAATTACCTTCTCCATTTCAAAATAATTGAAATTCTAGGATTTTCCTAAGTCGGATTTTATTAAGTTTGACCAAGCCTGTAACAAAATCCCCTGCAAAAAAGTCTATATAAAAATATGTCCACACCTACAAAGCCAAAATTATTTTATTAGATCCATTATGAAATATATTTTCATGTTATGTATATTTAATATTGTAGATCTTTGTGGATGATTTTACAGACTTGGTCAAATTTTAAAAAAATCACTTATGATAATCCTGAAACTTTAATTATTTTAAAACAGGGGGAGCAGTAGGACAGAAAAAAAATTACTTTGAATATTGGCTCTGCTTTTGTGTAACTTCGGTTATATAAAGTTGCCTATCTCAAATAAATTGCCCAATACACTATTTAAGCAGCACCTAGACAACTACGGGCTACAACACGGGCGCGGCATGCGCCGCACTGTCCACCCTGCTAGTTGAAACAACATTTCGAAGCTCACATTCATAGAAATGCATTATGCGGAACCACATTTTCTGGTATAACTTCAAACTGGTAATGTGCTTGTTTTCGTTATAAAGGTCAACATATTAATGTCAAGCTGATACAAGCACACCCGGTCTATCATGAAACAAACACAACGTATCGCTTGAGCCAACTCTTGTGGGCTTGGCATGCACGCAGTCGACATCCATGGCCCAGCTCGACGCCAACTGCACAGGGTGGTCCGATAGCCATTTCTCGTTTCCGTGGCCTTGGCCATAAGCCCATCAGCCTAGTCCACCCAAGGCCGACTGTCAGGGGTCCGCACAAGCGGTCGGTACATGTGCGTCGTAATAAGAGGATCAATGGTAGGTTTTCATCGGGGACTCCGACCACACGCCAACATAGGGCACTCATGGAGCAACTTGGGTTGGTGGATCACCCACGACGGAGAGGTGATCGAGGAAGAGGCGCTTCAATCCTATGTCGAGCTCCTCTCACGTTCCTTGAGCATGGAGCACATCCCGCTCATCACTCGACTCTTTGGGTGGCAACTCGATGTGGCCTTCCTCACAAGGTCACTTGTCCTTTGCATGATCAACAACAGTAGACCTTGCAACATCCGGTGGTTCGGTGTGTGGTGTCTCGACAGGCTTGGGCCTCTCTTCTGCTTAGGTGAAGCGGGTTAAAAGGGATGATGGGGGTGACACGTGTGGAAGCAAGTGCGATCCTGGCTGGGAAGTTGCGATAGGACTAGGACAAGCCACATGAGGAGTTGGGAGGGACGGGGGCGGTGACATCAGTGTGCACCGGGCACCAACAATGGCCAAAAAGGCAGTGTCAATTGGAGAGAAAATGATACTTCCTCCGTCTGAAAAAACTTGTCCCAAGCTTGTCCGTTAAATGGATGTATCTAGCACTAACTTGATGCTAGATACATCCATTTGGGGGACAAGCTTTTTTGGACGATGAAATTTCGCAGACGTGATACGTATCATCGTCACATCCTATGTGCGAGGAATCAAACCGACCACCAACTTACCACTTTCATTGATTAAGAAAGAAGGTTTACACTTATGCCCGCAACACGGGGAAGAAAACAACTACTCTCGAGGCATTACATTACTCAAGTATTTCGCACCCGCTAGAGCCCAAAGATGGGCCTCTTCCTTGATCCTCTCGACAATTAACATGGTGGGTGCGGCGGTGTTACGGAAAACTCTCGCATTGTGTTCCTTCCAAATCTCCCAAGATACCAACATAATTAGCGAAGTGAGAGCTTTCCAGTGCGGTCTTGTATTGTTCACTGTATCAGTCCACCAACCTTTCACCGCGGTGGCATTTGCCCAAGGCAAAATAGAGAAATCCAGGAGGCCGATTCTTTTAGGCGATGAAATTTCGCAGACGTGATACATAACATCGTCACATCCTATGTGCGAGGAATCAAACCGACCACCAACTGCACGGACCCATGCCCATGCTCACACAATCGGCAGATGGCCTCAACGCTATTTCTGTTAGCCCCGCATAAACTTAAAAAAGATTCATAGATGTGATGCGTACCATCGCCACAGCCCATGCGTAGTCTCTGGCAGATGACCTCAACGCTCTCCCCGTTAGCCGCGCATAAACTGAAGGAGATGCCCGACCTTATGTGCACCATCATCATTATAGAAACATTTCCTGTTTTTCCCATCCATATCAAAGACACGGAAATGCCGTGTTAAAAAAAGACACGAAAATGCCAGAAAAAAATTGTCAGCCACCACGTGATTATGCTCCACCCCAAAAATGGCGGTTGCTTGCCACTGGCCATCATTGGCCCCATTTTTTCCGGGGAAACGCAGCCAGCCAATCCCCTCCTTTCCCTCCGCGTTCGAACAAATTTAGAGACCAACGAATAACTACACCAATTAATCGTCCGCCTCTCTATTAACCCGCGCCTACCTAATTCTAACTTCCATTTCAATCCCTTCCTTCCTTCCGCACGCGCGCACGCCATGAGGCCACCGCTCGTCGCCTGCCTCGTCATCCTCCTTCTCTCCGCAGCGGCGGCACCGCCGGCCGGCGGCATCTGCGTGCCGCGCAAGCCCGGCGCGGGCGGCAAGGTCGGCCCTCTCCCTTCGCCGGCCAAGCCGACGCCGCCGCAATCGAAGCCGACGTCGCCGAAGGCCACGCCGGTCGCCCCCGGCGGCGACATCGTGAAGGCCCTGTGCGCCAAAACGGACTACCCAGACGTGTGCCTCGCTGCCATCGGCAAGCAGCCCCCGCCCGCAGGGAAGAAGCTGGACGGGCCCGGCGTGCTGGAGATGGCCATGGCCGCGGTGCGCGCCAAGGCGGCGGAGGCCAAGAAGGCGGCGGAAGCGCTCATCGCCGACCCCAAGACGCCGAAGCTAGCGGTGGGCCCGCTCCGCGACTGCGCCGACTCGTATGACGACATCCCCTACAGTCTCGACCACGCAGCGAAGGCCATAGCCGCCACCGACAAGGACACCACCGGCACCATGCTCGACACCTGCCGCACCGACGTAGACACGTGCGACCAGGGCTTCGAGGACCGCGAGGAGCTCCCGCGGCTCATGTCCAAGTACGACTCCGAGCTCGCCAAGCTCGCCAGCAACTGCCTCGCCATCGGCCAAGCCGTGGGCCTCCACCCGGGCCAGTCCTGAAATTCTGAGGCCTAAAATAGTTTGTATACGTATATATTATATAATGTTACTGATAAACAGCAAATAGGTGCAAACCAATATTTATCATAATTTAAACATTAATATCTTCAAATTTTCTTCTGAAATTCCTGGATGGAAATTCACTTATGATGGGGTCGATCTTCAATCTCATCCAACATTTTTTCCTCCGTACATATTTGTTAATAGCTCCTCTCTGCGATCATATCAAGCCATCCACACATTGTTTATTTATTTTTTTCTCTATGCATACTTTTTTTTCCTCTATGCATACTTTCTTGACGACATGATAAAATCCAATGTTGATTTTTTTAAAGCATCAATCAAAGGATAAATAGTGCAAGCTATGCAGATGTATGAGAAGGTAAATTACTTAATTAGCAATATACATGTGAGGGATATGAAATGGTATATTGGTATATGGTATACCTTGGATCGATGTCCGAGTAGGCTGATCGGGTGGTAATGACGTGTCAGGACATGGACTGTCTCACATGAGGCGCTTGATGAGATGGCAATATACGTCAGTGGATGTGTGCGTCCACCACCTAGTCTCCTCAAGGCCGGAGAGTGAATGAGTTCGTGGCATGAGAGTGTCGCGACCTGCGAGGCTGCAAGCCTGCGACTCACGTCGGGGGTTAGGGAATAGAGATTGCCATGAACATCGGAACATGCGACGGAAGGATGTTATGGGCGGCGTGCGTACCCATCAGAGTCTCTATGCGTTGTGCGTAGCGTGCTAGGCCAACTACCTGATGTTGTGGATGCGTCCCTGGCCCATTGGCCGATACTCAGTGTCTGATCACTTGGATGATGCTTGATCCGGCGGGTGTGCTCCACTTTGTCTCACGAATGCACATTGTGCCCCAGATGCGCATGCCTTAGAAGCAACCCAAAGCAAACATGAGGCCCAACATCTCCAAATTTAACACTGAGCATGTTGTGAGCAACCAAGACAACACCTCCATGATGGGACGACGTCGTCATGCCGCCGCCTTCCAATCTGATGAATTGGACCTAAGATTTCCTTCGGTGCTTGAAGAGGGCATGGAGAAAGACCCTGGCAACGCCTTGGTGGCACCACTGTCAGCATCGACAGCCGAGCATGGATTTCTCCCCGGCCTATGACTGAACAACCCCGAAGCCACCAGATCATAATACAAAGGTGTGGAAATCAAGTCGTTGGACTGAACCACCGCCGCGGGAAGGAGAGTTGCACCGGTCACTGAACAGAAGGTGGCACCAAGCATCACCGAACTCTCCACCACCTACGACACCACCAATGCCAACGTCGTTGGACGCACCCGAGCCGCCTCCAACTACTACGAGCCAGATTGGGGTAGGGGAAGCCCAGATCCGTCGACACCAGCACCACCATAGCTAGGCCAAGTGAAGACGAGGCATGGCCAGGCCATGCCATCAGGAGGAGTAGCCACGGGATCCAGGTTCAACCTGGAACGAGCACATGTGTCCCTAATTGTGCACATTTCCCTTGTTCAGATCTGTTAAATAAAAAGAGTGGAATCCAAATGGTCCTCGCCACCGTGTGCGGGGTGGGCGTTTGCTCTCCCCTGTTCTTGGATTCAAACCAACTCAAACATGTTTATGTATATGCAAGTTCAACAATTGTTCCATTTAAAGATCCGTTAAAGTGTTGGCATGATTTTCATTGATATCAAGGGCAAAAGATGTAATGGTTGACCATAAGGTCAAGGAAGGAAAATAAGAAGAAAGGGCACAGAAAGAAAGAAAAGGAAAGACAAAAAGGATAGGTCGATCTCGCATGTCGGTTCCCCAAAAGGGGGCTGATACGACTCCAATGTATCTATAATTTTTATTATTCCATGTTATTATATTATCAATCTTGGATGTCTTATATGCATTTATATGCTAGTTTATATCATTTTCCGGACTAACTTATTAACCTAGTGCCCAGTGCGAGTGATGTCTACTACACAACCTTCTTCTTGTAGACGTTGTTGGGCCTCCAAGTGCAGAGGTTTGTAGGACAGTAGCAAATTTCCCTCAAGTGGATGACCTAAGGTTTATCAATCCGTAGAAGGCGTAGGATGAAGATGGTCTCTCTCAAAACTTGGGATATCATCATAACAACTTTGCATATCAAAACTTGGGAGGCTAAAAATATCATCTTCATTAAACATAGCATCCCCAAGCTTGGGACAAACATTAATTGCAGCAAATATATTCTCAAATATTTCATCCTCATCAAACATAGCTTTCCCAAGCTTGGGCCTTTTCATATCATAAGCATAATCACTCTCATCATTAATAGTATGGATAGCACCAATAGTATAGCAATTATCATCATCACAATGAGTAGTAGGAGCAACATCATTTGGGAGGGATACCTTTTTATCTTTGTTGCTCCTTCTTTTCTTTTTCTTCTTCACATTATGTGTGGGTTCAACCTTCTTATTTGAGCTCCTTAAAGATTGGTTGAATAGAAAGCTCCTCCTCGTTACCTGATTCATCATAAGAAATAATAGGAGGATATTGTGAAGTCTCTTCCCTTTCATTAGTATTCTCTTCATCTTCTATTTGCTTCCTTTTCTTTGACTGGTAATATAAGGATTTTCTGCAATTCACCGCACAATACAAATAAATCTTCTCTAGATCAATATCAAGGAATTTCTCATGGGCAAATTCTGGAAGGTCCTTAATTAAACGTTTCATTTCTTCATAACCCAAAAGCAAACTAAATTCATTATGATGTTCAAGAGAAATCATATCATCACAATTTTCGGACGCGATTCGATCATGAAACAATTTGCATCGGAGATGTAAATGACCACGTTCATTGCAAAGTTCACAAGTACGGCAAAGGAAATTTAAATTTTTAGCACTCACATTTAGCCTTTCTTGCAACCATTTAGTTTCTAAATGCTTATGCCTCTTGCAATATCTATCTTACCTATTTGGTGTGTACTTGCAAACCCGATTCACTCCACAAAATCGACATGCTTATAGGAGACATTTTCATCATAACTAGTGCAATCATCATTAGTACTATGGATATTCAAAGAGTTCATACTAACAGCATTGCAATCATGCTCATCCTTCAAAGATTTAGTACCAAGCATTTTAGTGCATTCTTCTTCTAGCACTTGAGCACAATTTTCCTTTTCATCATACTCACGAAAGATATTAAAAAGATGAAGCGTATGAGACAAACTCAATTCCATTTTTTGGTATTTTTCTTTTATAAACTAAACTAGTGATAAAACAAGAAACAAAAAGATTCGATTGCAAGATCTAAAGATATACCTTCAAGCTCTCACCTCCCCGGCAAGGGCGCCAGAAAAGAGCTTGATGTCTACTACACAACCTTCTTCTTGTAGACGTTGTTGGGCCTCCAAGTGCAGAGGTTTGTAGGACAGTAGCAAATTTCCCTCAAGTGGATGACCTAAGGTTTATCAATCCGTAGGAGGCGTAGGATGAAGATGGTCTCTCTCAAACAAACCTGCAACCAAATAACAAAGAGTCTCTTGTGTCCCCAACACACCCAATACAATGGTAAATTGTATAGGTGCACTAGTTCGGCGAAGAGATGGTGATACAAGTGCAATATGGATAGTAGATATAGGTTTTTGTAATCTGAAAATATAAAAACAGCAAGGTAACTAATGATAAAAGTGAGCATAAACGGTATTGCAATGATAGTAAACAAGGCATAGGGTTCATACTTTCACTAGTGCAAGTTCTCTCAACAATAATAACATAATTGGATCATATAACTATCCCTCAACATGCAACAAAGAGTCACTCCAAAGCCACTAATAGCGGAGAACAAACAAAGAGATTATGGTAGGGTACGAAACCACCTCAAAGTTATCCTTTCTGTTCTATCTATTCAAGAGTATGTAGTAAAATAACATGAAGCTATTCTTTCCGTTCAATCTATCATAGAGTTCATACTAGAATAACACCTTAAGACACAAATCAACCAAAACCCTAATGTCACCTAGATACTCCATTGTCACCTCAAGTATCCATGGGCAGGATTATACGATATGCATCAGACAATCTCAGATTCATCTATTCAACCAACACAAAGTACTTCAAAGAGTGCCCCAAAGTTTCTACCGGAGAGTCAATACAAAAACGTGTGCCAACCCCTATGCAAAGGTTCAAGGGCGGAACCCGCAAGTTGATCACCAAAACATACATCAAGTGGATCACGTGATATCCCATTGTCACCACAGATAAGCACGGCAAGACATACATCAAGTGTTCTCAAATCATTAAAGACTCAATCCGATAAGATAACTTCAAGAGAAAAACTCAATTCATCACAAGAGAGTAGAGGGGGACAAACATCATAAGATCCAACTATAATAGCAAAGCTCGCGATACATCAAGATCGTGCCATAGAGAGAACACGAGAGAGAGAGAGAGAGAGATCAAACACATAGCTACTGGTACATACCCTCAACCCCGAGGGTGAACTACTCCCTCCTCGTCATGGAGAGCGCCGGGATGATGAAGATGGCCACCAGTGAGGGATCCCCCCCTTCGGCAGGGTGCCGGAACGGGCTCCCGAGAGGTTTTTGGTGGCTACAGAGGCTTGCGGCGGCAGAACTCCCGATCTATCTTGTTCTCGATGGTTTTAGGGTATATGGGAATATATAGGCGAAAGAAGTCGGTCGGGGGAGCCTCGAGGGGCCCACGAGGGTGGAGGGCACGCCCAGGGGGGTGGGCGTGCCCCCCTATGTCGTGGCATCCTCGACGCTTCCCTGGCTTGCACTCCAAGTTCCCGGGATTGCTTCTGTTCCAAAAATAACGTTTTCGAAGGTTTCATTCCGTTTGGACTCCGTTTGATATTCCCTTTCTTCGAAACACTGAAATAGACAATAAAACAATAATATGGGCTGGGCCTCCGGTTAATAGGTTAGTCCCAAAAGTAATATAAAAGTGTATAATAAAGCCCGTAATCATTCAAAACAGATAATAAAATAGCATGA